GGTGGGGGTTGATGCGGGTGGGGGTTGATGCGGGTGGGGGTTGATGCCGGGTAGGGGTTGATGCGGTGGGGGTTGATGCGGGTGGGGTTGATGCAGGTGGGGTTGATGCGGGTGGGGGTTGATGGGTGGGGGTTGAGTGGTGGGGGTTGATGGGTGGGGGTTGATGCGGGTGGGGTTGATGCGGGTGGGGGTTGATGCGGGTGGGGGTTGATGGGTGGGGGTTGATGCGGTGGGGGTTGATCTTGGTGGGGGTTGATGCGGGTGGGGTTGATGCGGGGTGGGGTTGATGCGGGTGGGGGTTGATGCTGGGTGGAGGTTGTTGTTGGGGGTTGTTGTTGGGGGTTGTTGTTGGGGGATGATGTTGGGGGTTGATGTTGGGGGGTTGATGTTGGGGTTGATGTTTGGGGGTTGATGTTGAGGGTTGATGTTGGGGGTTGATGTTGGGGTTGATGTTGGGGGGTTGATGTTGGGGTTGATGTTGGGGGGTTGATGTTGGGGTTGATGTTGGGGGTTGATGTTGGGGGTTGATGTTGGGGGTTTGATGTTGGGGTTGATGTTGGGGTTGATGTTGGGGGTTGATGTTGGGGTTGATGTTGGGGGTTGATGTTGGGGTTGATGTTGGGGGTTGATGTTGGGGTTGATGTTGGGGGTTGATGTTGGGGGGTTGATGTTGGGGGGGTTGATGTTGGGGGGGTTGAAGGTGTAGACTTGTAGTTACCCTAAACTATTTATTCTGAAATCAACATAAACTACCTATTATTCTATTCTGCCGAATAATCCAGGACGGAATGTTTAAACTATCTATCAAATCTGGTATCCAGCCAGATTTAAAATTCACTATCAGGTGAATCCCAATGACCTATCCTGTCTTCCAGGGTAAATATAAAATGCAAGGAAAAATTCAAATACTTACCGTGATACAGTTGTCAAAAGCATCATGCTACTTCATATTCCACTTCTTTCCATCCTTTAAGTGATTTGTCTGTCAAAAAGATAAACTTAGATATGATTATACAATAAAATCATATAGAACATGTTCAGCATTTTGTTTACCCAATTGAAATAATTTAAAAACAGTATCTACAGTATAGTTCAACAATATATTTAGGTAACTGCATTTTGAAAACAAAATAACTTTTGCATCTCTAAACATTTACACACTTCACAAAATCTAATCTGTTAAATGAACTTAAAACTAACACAATATCCAAGGCTAATACTTTTCATTTTTAATCATAAGTGAAGGAATTACTCCATTATGCCTAATCATTCATAATTGAACCTCCAGTTATGAAGTTCTGGTATTAACTGTTTGAGTCTTTTCTTCAACTTATTACTTGTGAAAAAATCCATCTAACCTATAATAAGCTGAGGTGAGTGAGCAAAGGCTGATGTTGCTAGTTTAGCAAGTTCCTGTGAATTGTCAGCAAATCCAGAGCCAAGGCCTCCTAAAGCATAAGCTGCCGAGGCTAATACAGGGTAGCCAATCCTCTCTGCTGCTTCATGAGCCTGATAAGAAAAAAAAATACATTAGTTTAATTTTAAAGAATGCTATCTTATTGTAATATATATTATTCTTTTCCCATTAGTTCCTACTTTATTTTGCTGCTTCTTTTTTATTTTACACTTATCCCCCATATTTGCAAATTCATTTATTTATGAAAAAATATTAGTGACCCTTTATTCAAAAGTTGCAAGGCCGTTAGAATTTTTTTGACAGATCATAGGCAGATGCGTACCTCCTGCACCCACTGGAGGTTAGTCAGTTCTCTCGCTGCTGCACCATCCTCTCCTTCTCACTCCACCCAGTATATGGACGTAGGAAGGGAGGGAGGGTACTGCTTTTAATGTTTTAGGTATAAGGTACTATACATTGCACCACAGAGTATCTTGGGCACCAGAATTAATATTTGCTCCCTGGTAAAATATGGTTCCTCCAGTACTGACCCAGTCACACCCAACAACCTCTCTATTCATGTCATACCACTTTATACAAAATGTCTTAAATTTTACAATGTTGTACACTTAATTTAAATTACAGTGCAATTCCTTTTATCCAAATTTCAACTACAGTATCTGCATGTTTCAAATATCTGAACTTTATCCCCTTGGACCTGTTCAACCTTTATGTCCCGGGCTAGGGTGGCTCTGGCAGTACCCCCCACACGGGAGTAAAAACAAGAAAAATCAACTTTTCAAAATAATTTTTTAACCAATTTTAATTTTAAAACATAAGAACATAAGAACATAAGAATGGAGGAAACTGCAGCGGGCCTATTGGCCCATACTGGGCAGTCCCGTTTACACCCAACCCCTATTGCTCATATGAGCATCCAACCTATGTTTGAAGCAATTCCAGTATTAGAAGTTAATGATGATATTTGGTAACTGTCATTCATCCACTACTCTGTTTCCAAACCAGTGTTTACCTATTTCACGCCTAAATCTCAAAAAGAAAAATCAGCCCAAAGTTAGGGGGTCGTCTTAAACACCAGATATAAAATTCTTCCTCTTAAATATTGGTGTTTAGCGTTTCAAGAGTGGTGATGGAAACATCGTAAACCACTCACAAGGTCCTACCATAATTATTTTATCCTGAAACTTACGTTTGGGAAGCGGGATTAAAATGAAGATTACCAGTATATTAAAATAATAAAAATGTATTATAAACCTGTCTAACATACGTAAAACAATATACCCCGGTAATAAACACAGCTGCTATCATCACCGCCCCCACCCCCTCCCCATTTGGAATACTCAGAAAAGCACAGCGTTAATTCTTGAAACTACCAACAATGGTAAATTTAGGATATAAATGATGAACAGAAGTCACGTCATGGATTCGGAGTTTGGTCCTATAGATCACCATAAATGTCTGGTCAACTTCACCTACCAGGTATAATGGTAGCCTACCTTTTTCGAAAACAAGTATATAAATTAAAGAAAATACTTGCAGTGTGTTTAATATATTACAGTATATTATAAATAAATAAATAAACAAATAAATCGGTAAATCTATTTCAAGTAAATGGAAATATTTTACTCACACCGACATTAGTTCAGTTAAATAACAGAGGCTTAAGTGAGTCACTAGTGTTTTACTACCCTAACCGGTAAAATTGTTCATACTTGAAGTGAATTGGCCTTTTAATAACAACCATAAATAAATGCAAAATGAAAAAAAGATCAAGGTGAGAAACAATATATTGTATGTATGTTGTGTTGTCAAAGGAAGAGAAACAATTGAAACTCTGCAATTGTGTGTACATGAGGCAGAAAGATAGATCAGCAACCTAAGACTTGGTCACAATTTTCGTGATGCCATATGGAAGTAGGGTCTACCATTAGACAATATGGTACATTATGCTTCCAATATCTTCCCAGGAGGTAGTATCTCCCTGTTTAGTAGCTGCCTAAAACTTTTAGTAATATTACTTTGATACAATATGATAAATTAGAAAAACAATGAAAATAAACAAACAAAAGTTATTTACTAAGACCTTCTCTCTGAGAACAGAGGGTAAGAATGGAGGGAGATAAGAAGGCTATTATAGCCCGTCTTTGTCGGAAGTTGACCGCACTATAAATAATTCATTTAAAATTTATATTTTTTACATAGAATATTCAGTACATGACTCGATTATAAAATATTGTGAATATATATATATATATATATATATATATATATATATATATATATATATATATATATATATATATATATATATATATATATATATATATATATATATATATATATATATATATATATATATATATATATATATATATATATATATATATATATATATATATATATATATATATATATATATATATATATATATATATATATATATATATATATATATATATATATATATATATATATATATATATATATATATTATATATATATTTTAGTGACCTAGGTTACTGACCAATCCTGGTCCAGAATGGTTGATTGCAAAAGTTCGTTAACCGAAACCATTTTTTCAATGGGTTTTTGGGTAATTGGTTCCAGCTCACCGAAAATTTCCAAAATTCAACAAAAATGGTAGAAAAGTACACTTACTTTGAGGTGTGTATGTAGAAGGCTCCTGGATGATGATGATGGGAATTACAATGGGGGTGGAGGAGAAGGAAGAAGAGAAGGCATTGGGGTGGAAGAGAAGTCACCCCATGGCACCATTTCACCCATAAAATTTTAGTTCTCTTGGTGTATTTCAAGATTATTTTCTTTAAATCAACACTGCACTGCATTATATATTGTCAATATGTAAAATATACTTCAAAATGACCAATAATTTGCATGGAAACACAGAAAAAAAGAGTTTAGTTGAAGAGTCTCAAGCAATATGTTACCTCCAGTGAAAACAGAGAGAGACTAACGCCTGTTTGCTGTGTTAAGAGGCTGGATGCTGCGCTTTAAACTAGTCACTTTACCTTCAATTATGTTCAATAATTGTTAGAATGACTATTAAATTGAATATTAAACTTTTAAAATTATTGAATAGTATAAACTTCTTGATATTTACTAAAATAGTTAGGGATTTAAGCCCTAGAACCGATTAATGTATTGGCGGACTGATACTAAAGCTGGTTGCCCGGCCAGTGCAAGCGAAAACATGTTGAGGTCGGTTCGTAAGAAATTCGTTAACCGAATTTTTGTTCGTTAACCGAATTGAAGATCCTTATGGAAGGCAGTTCGTTAACCGAAATTTCGTTAACCGAGGCGTTCGTTAAACGAGGGGTCACTGTATATGTGTATATATATATATATATATATATATATATATATATATATATATATATATATATATATATATATATATATATATATATATATATATATATATATATATATATATATATATATATATATACATATATATACAGTATATATATATACAGTCAACCCTCACTTTACGCGGTTAATGTAACCCACAGGGTACCGCGGAAAGTGAGAAACGCGTAAAGTGAATAACATAACATATGGGATTAAATGAAATAGAGACCAGCTGACCCCCAAACTCCACTTTTTCCAACACAATACCTATGTTCTAGTAAAAATAACATCTTAATTTTATGATGGTACATGCACACAATTAATACTTAAGAGAAATAGAGAAATACAGTCGCCAAGTTAATGTCCATTCAAATAATGGACTCAACTCCCTCCCCCTCTTCTCACACTACACTCCTGGCTCTTCCCTCTCTGAGAAATTTTCGGAGGAAAACCAGGTATAGTAATAAATAATACCTCAAACTAAAGTTAGGATAATATAATTGACATTGCTGGATTCCTTGTAAGACCAGGAATATTTTGAATACAAATGTCATATATTTTGCACAAAAGATAACATATTTAATCAGAGTAAACATTATATCTAAAATTTGTATTTCTAATGCAAAATCTATGATGTTTATATTCAAAATGATCATCAAATTGTAAGAATTCCAGCAATGTAATTATATTCTGGCAGGGTAATTTGTATGAATTTTATGAGCTAAAACAAATATCTTCAGTTAATAAAAAAAAAAATTTTCTTCGCAACACTATCTGTCAATCAAAGTACCCCACCTTGCCTCCCCCTCTTCCAAGCGCCAGATGGTCGGTCCGTCCCAACCCTCCCCCCCCCACCAATCCTCCCTTCAAGGGAAAGGTTGGGTGAAAAAACTAGATTTTAACATTTAGTATTAAATAATACCTCAGATTAAAGTTAGGATAATATAATTGACATTGCTGGATTCCTTGTAAAACCAGGAATATTTTGAATATAAATGTCATATATTTTGCACAAAAGATAACATATTTACTCAGAGTAAACATTATATCTAAAATTTGTATGTCTAATGCAAAATATATGATGTTTATATTCAAAATGATCATCAAATTGTAAGAATTCCAGCAATGTAAATTATATTCTGGCCAGGTAATTTGTATGAATTTTATGAGCTAAAACAAATATCTTCAGTTAATAAAAAAAATAATATTCTTCACACCCTGGTGCCAGGTGGTCGGTCACCGGTCCCTCCCTCCCTCCCACCCCCCACCATCCCTCCCTACCAGATGATTGTGTGGGAATACCAGACTGTTTACCTTTTTAGTAATAAATAATAAATCAGACTAAAGTTAGGATAATATAATTGACATTGCTGGATTCCTTGTAAGACCAGGAATATTTTGAATATAAATGTCATATATTTTGCACAAAAGATAACATATTTACTCAGAGTAAACATTATATCTAAAATTTGTATGTCTAATGCAAAATCTATGATGTTTATATTCAAAATGATCATCAAATTGTAAGAATTCCAGCAATGTAAATTATATTCTGGCCGGATAATTTGTATGAATTTTATGAGCTAAATAAAAAAATTATACTTCACCCGTGTAAAGGGGTACACCCACCGCGGAATGTGAGCATCCTGGGTTCTGGCAGGGCACCGTAAACGCGGAATGTGGGACCGCGTAAAGTGAGGGTTGACTGTATGTATATATA